TGACGGCTTTGGAGTTTGAGGCGGCTACTCTTCATATGTTTGTTAAATAAAAACAAGATGAATTGTCACCCCAGGTTATTAGCTTATTAGAAGTATATACTAAAACGTCTAGTATTTACAAACTTTTTTAAAAATTACAATGTATATTTTTTATTAAATGTCTAGGGTGTTACATTGAAGTTTATACAATACATTTATTCATTTATATATATATTTTTTACTTAAGATATTTTTGAAATAATCACAGTTTCAGATAAAAAATAACATAATCTGATACTTTTTAGTAAAGGAGCTTAATTGTTTTCTTCATTTTTTTTAAAACTATTGTTATATTGCCAGTGTAAAATTCTACATGTGTAAGTTATATCCCTGCGTCTTTGTGAGACCATAGTCTAACTTCTTCATTATTTTTTTTATTTTTACTTTCTCTGGTGGCTTATAATGCCTTTTCATATATGTGTTTCTCCAAATGCCTGATTGCAACTTGAAATAAAGAAAAGAGTTGCATTCCCATTGTCTCATTTCAACTTTAGCTTCCTTAAAGTTTCTTATAAACATGTTTATTTATCGCATCTGAGGCAGTGCTTCTTTCAGAAATTTTCCCCGGTGGGGGCACTTCAGATTTTCGGGAGGGGGGCCAAAGGCGTAACTAAGGAGGGACATATGGTATATACGTCCCGGGGCACCAGACTTGCGGGAATGGGGGCAACAATGGGCTTTGAGGGAATTAATTGGTTTAAAATAACCGGTTTCAGAGTTAAAGGGGGTCGTAAAAATGAATCTTGACCCCTGACGCCAAACACTGTAGATGTGCCCCTGCAAGTGACGTCGAAATAGGGCGGATGGAGTGGTCCATCCAGGTGTCACTTTTTCTTTATATGTTGTTTTGGTATTTTTGGACAACAGTAGAGTTTGAATTGTGAAAAGGAGGACGGCAAAAATTTTTTGCCACTCATGGCAGCCTTAATAGTAGGTACGCCACTCGGCAGTGTATCTATCGATAATGAAATCAGCGATCATTTTCATCGACACGTAGGGTGGAAATCGATGGTGCCTATTAAATTATGAATCTTGATCGGTGGAGGGGTGTCAGGGGAGCTAGCTCCCCAGAATTTTTTTTTTTTTTTTCAAAAGCAATAGGTTTATTTTTGAGTAAACTTAAACTCGATGTTTCTATTGTACCTTGTTGACAGGGAAGAACATTTTTAAAGATTTTTGTGAAGCATTATTTAGCCCAGTGCCAAATATAAACTGAATTAACTCCATTTCTGGTATGCTTAAGGTTAAGCATTAGGGATAAGTGTAAAGGGTATGAGAATCACTGTTGTTATGTGTAGATCATTGTTGTCATGTTTGATAGGGAAAAGATGTTTAGTTAGAGATTTTATGTGTAGCTGTATCGTTTGTGTGAGAGTATTGTGACGTAATTGTATAATGTGAAATGACGCGTTAGTTTTAGTTGTTGTTTTGGAATGATAGAGATGGCCGGCGTGTGCTGTTCAAGACATAGCTTGTTGTGAGATGTTCAAGGCTTAGCTTTCTATGTGTGAGGATTCAGCGAGATAGATAGTGAAGTTTAACTTTGATAAGTTTACAAGTGGTATTGTGAATTTCACTGATTTTTCAGGCTTACGCGGCTTATTAAATTATACATTGAACTCATATCGATATATCCAGTGTTTGTTGTCGGTTACACTGGTATGTGTGGTGCTAGGATGTCCCACGGTTGAGCGTCTGGATTAGAAGATTGGAAGACCACAGGACATCAAGAGTTACTTTTCGACAATATGCTTATAATCAACCACGTAGTGTACAATTGATCTAAGTGGTGGAAGGGGTGCATAATTTAGGTTGCTATAGACAGTGGTACACACTCAAAATTATGGGGCATTATTTTGGCCCACACTTAAATTTGTTGTTTCTTTCAGACAATTTTAAGATGGCATTTTAAACGTTTGGGTGTCTAATGGCACAATTAGCCATACAATGACCAAAGACATCTTAAATTCTGCACCAGCGGGATGTAAACTATTTTCAGTCTAGCTATGTCACCTTTAAGGGTAAGATTTTGCACTAGATAATACTTGCCCTTTAATCATTATAGTCCCCAAAAATTTTTGATCAATTCAAAATACAAGAATGCATTTGTCACATATCTGAATTTAGTTTTTCAACATTCCACACTTAATTGGAGAGCAACGAAAGATATACTAATTAAGAAATATATAGCCCACTTAAACTACAATGGCAACCCCTACGACTGAAGTGTAACTCGGATATTTTAGGAGCTTAAAGATTTGATGAGGATATTTTCTTAATTATAAACTTTCCGTGCAGTGCTGTCAAAACGGAAATAGCATGACCTGCTTGTGTTATGCAAAAACAAAAACAAAATTAAAGTAATTATTTATTGAACAATATTAATTTGGATTTTTTTTGTAATTTAAATTATTTTTTAGGGAAAGCTACTTAATTAATAAATGAATTTTCAGAAAATAAATTTCAATGAAAAAGTGTACCATCACTAAAAAGCACTGCAAACATTATTTTATATGATGAAGCAAATTACTTATAATTATGATGCTTAGACTAACCTATCTAATAATGTCATAATTTTACTAGATTCAAAAAGAAAAAAAAAACAGGTTTATACAAAGGTCTATACATTAATATGTGTTTTGAAAACTGGTCATTTTTATAAATTGCATATGAGTGGCATAAGTATTTTAAGAAGACATTAGTTGTTTACAAACTATATTATATTTATAAGTGTTTGAATTTATCGAAGGGGATATCGTATGCAAACAGAGTATAAATGTCCCACTATTCAGTAGATTGAAATTTTTATTTAGAATTTCAAACTACTATAACTTTTTTAAATTGCTATACTTTTTTAAATTTTTATCTAAACCCACAGAATTTATTTTAAATTAACGAATGAGGAATAAGAATTTCTTTTTTAAACACCTTACAAAACAAAGAAATAGGCATGTTAATCGAAATGCTAGTTCACAAAAAAAAAAATTCTTTGTTTTCTACTGGATTCCCATCTAAAATAAAATGAATAATACAAAAATGATGGCAATGCAAATGGGTGGGGCATTTTGTTTGTTATTATGACATTAAAAAAAGAAAAGCAGTTTGGAAGTTGATAATAATAAATATAGGCTAACAGCTAAGAATTGAAACATTTAAAAAATAAGTTTTTTTGAAAAATTTGTGACGAAGGTAGTACATTTGAAGAAAGAAAAACACTTTTGATTTTGTAGTGATTTATTATTTTTTTCGCCTATAAATTCTAAGTTAGAAAAAAAAAGGTATGATGCCAATTTTTTAGTCAGGCTTTTATGATGAACTATAATTTGAAAACAGATTGCACATGATTATTTCTTGACTAAGTATTGTTAAAATTGTATACCTTTATAGGTATTTAAATTTATTTTATTATAGTGTTATTAAAGTTTTTAACTTGTGGATTTGCAAAAAAAAATAAATAAAAATATCCATATATGAGAACAACAACAGGAACTGAGACTGGAGTGGTCAGTGCGACGTTTATAATCGAATGTTATAACTTGATCAGCCTTAATTATGCAACTCATCAAATATATAGAGCCAGCGATATTTAATAGTTTCCATTACATGTAATCGGTTAAATGCAACAGTTACTACGCATTTGTCATTTTTAATATTAAAAAAAAATATATAGTTTTGTCATATTGTTGTACACATTCTGCTTCTGTTTGGGGGGGGGGGGAGCCATCCCAGAGAGCAACAGGACTACTAGACTACTGCATTTTTTTCTGAGTTTTTGGAGCAGTTGAGGTTAAATTGTGGACGACAAGTCTATTTAACATTCATGTGGCTTCCGAATGGGGCGTTCAACTATACACATAATATTTTAATGCTTTCATTGACCTGACCAAGGCATTCGACTTGGTAAGCTAGAGTTACCTCTACAGTGTCTTGGATAGAATAGGTTGTCAACGACGAATGTTCACAACCATACAGTCAGTTGACGAAAATTTGCGCAGCACTGTAACCTTCAATTGTGCGTACGTTTGAAAAAGGAGCATGAGGTAAGCCAAAATAGTAATCAGCGAATGGGATATCATCACTGAGTAATGTTCCAGCTGGCGAACAGCGTTGTATGAATGTTTCATAAAGAAGGAAAATGCGAGAACACAAGCCCTTGAAGAAAAAGACCAATATATGAGGCAAAATCTAACCAGGAGTCATTGTTCTCATGCGAAAAAAGCAGACGGGACTGTCTTCTAGGATATGCCTGGTACATAAATATGTAATCATGAAATGTAAATTAATATTTCAGTATAATTTAAAACAACGGCAAAAACAGTATCCCATATATTTCAGATGCTAATCTTAGTATACAGTGACACAATCCGATAATTTATTTTTAACGTTTCTCTCCCCAATGCTATTATTACAACACGGCCCTATCAACTCGACCAATCAAGGAAGGAAATAAATTGCCTTATGTCTTGACAAATGTGGTTCGATTTTATTTGTATTGCGTTTAGCGTTATTTTTAAAACGTCAACATTGTGGTTCCTACTTCATATAGCACATTTTTATTGAATAGAAGAAATTCGTTTTCGTCAGCTTGACACAAATATCAGTATTTTGCTATCTTTGACCCTTGAATTTTAACATAATCATAATGAAATGATTTCAAGAATATCGATATTATTGATTATCATATTGTTAATTAAGTTACATCAATATTTTAAATAAGTTTTAGGTTATTGACTTACAAATATTGTCCAAAATCATTTCATTCATTGCGAAATGTTATATTTCATAAGGCTTGCTTCAGCCTAATAATTATAATTTATTGATAAATAAAGCAATAGATATAATTAAATTATAATTCATTTCAATGGTATTAAAATAGTTTTATTACCAATGATGCATTAGCCAAGCTAAATAATTGTGACGGCTTACGTCAATACAATCTCATAACCATCTTCATGGTTATTGGCAGTTTCTCCATGTTCAACTTCGTCGAGCACATTTACATAGTTCGATTGTAGTGCATCTATATGGTATATTTCATTTATTTGGTCATAATCATGTATTTCCGAACTGCCTAGAAGAAAGAAATAATCACATTTTAATTAAACACCAAATTGCTGTTGTACTTATTTTACAAAAAAAAAATAATTTGTTTGTTTAGGGTTTAAGTAAATGAACTAAACTGTATATATTTAACTTTATTTAAAACCGTATATCTAACGTTAACAAACATACATATCAATCTTTTCTGATATCAGAAATAATAAGAGCATGTACACATATAATTTTGCTTAGTAGGGGATTTTTCCCAATTAAATTACATATGATTTAAATTTTCTTGTTATATTTATACACATCTAAAAAAAACTATTCCTATTTATCTTATACAAATATATCGTCTAAGGATGATGATGAGGTATTATTAACACTGTTGTCAAAATATTTATTTCAAATTATTTTGCTCAAAAAAAAGAGTGAAACGAAAATCAAATTCCATCCACATTAAAAGCAAATATTGTTTATAAATAAATAATATTACATTGAAATTAAGTTTTATTCAATTATTTATTAAATGTATATAAATACAACAAGAAAATTTAAATCATATATAATGTATATGATATATATATATATATGCATTACTTGAAAAGACATTACATTGAAATTGAGTTTTATTCAGTCATTTCAAGTAATTACTTTACATAAGCTTTTATTTTTAGCATTAGTCATACACCTTAATACTTTATGCATTCGTATATTTATTTGATTTTAAAAAAGTATGTATTCCATATTTAAAACATAACTAAGCTGTAAAACGGTTTCATTCTGATTCTTCAAAAGTCCAGTAAAAAGGACGACTTATTTTAAATTTACATACCATTCTGTTTTTTATACAATATAATAATCATTAAAGAGAGGATGAAGACATTGCCTCCAATGACACAAGTTAAAATTAATTGAAATTTGAGTGGATCAATGATGCTCACTTCTTGTAAAATCGACAAGTTACCTAAATATAAAATATGTTTGCATGTTATTACTCTATTATTTCTTTTAAACAAATATGATATATTGAAATAATGTAGTAAAAAAAGTTTATTTATATGAATCATGTTATAATACTGTGTAAAAATGTTTCGGAAAAAATAAAACACAATTTAATATTTTGATGACTAAAGCCTTGAGGAAACAAATACTTGAATGCTTAAACTTTAGTTTTATTTTTGTTTTGCAATCGTATTAATTAACTTCCTGTATTACTTAAACTTTGTTACAACAAAACATGTATTTTTTTTTACATTGCTTTTATCTAACTCACATGTCATAAAATTCAACTATCCATATGTGTTGATATAATGATAAAATAGTATAGTGTGTGAAAATAACTGAGTGATAACAAAGCTGCATGAATGCGAGGCATGTGCAGAGTAAAAATGTATATACCTAATACTGAAGGTGAATAGTACACTGTTGAATTATCATTGGTCCAGTGAGATGAAGTTATAGCCTTACAAAAGAAAGCCCCTGTAATAAAGATTATTGATGTATTAAATGCATTAGAAGAACAATGTAAGCTAAATTTAGCAAGCTTCATAACTCTTCAAATGTTTTATCTTCACGGCTTTTTTGTGGGGCATCTTTAGAATGCTAGTCTCTATAATGATTTATTATTTAAATATCTTTAATTGTATTTAATTTTCATTAATAAAAAAAAACATCATCTCGGGAATGATATTAATACTCATATTTAATTAGTTTTACTTTAAAATGGGGTTAAATTAAATCTCACAAAAAATATTTAGGAATTATACTTAAGACATTTTAAATTTAGTTGAACAAAACGTATCTAAAAAATATGACGTGAAGCTATTACCCTTTGTTTTTCTTTTGGCAACGAATGTAAGGAGATGGCTTGTCACCTTGTGCACAGGTTTACTGCTGATTTTGTCAAACCAAACAAGAGGAGCTTTAATGAGGCTGGTGTCCGATCTCTCACAAGTGCAGTTAACTTCAATATTTTCTACAACAAGTTCAGGACAATGTGCGAGTTTAACACTAGGGTACTCTGTAGAACAACATTTTTTTTTTGTTAAACGAATACAAATGAAATTTAACCGATTCCTGCAAGGTCTTTTATAACCAATATATATATTTTTTTTTAATGTGTGCAATCGAGTTTCATAAGTACATGTTATATTGTTTTCTTATTGTGTCAGTGTAAACAAAAAATTCCTAGTTTTTTTCGGCTGTGATTTTTAACAGTCGATATAAGTTTTTATAAACGCAATTTACTTTTAATTCATTATTATAATTATTCATTACTTACCTAAATTTATAAGAATTGATTGATTAGTACCGAAATATTTGTCATCATTACTACCAGTAACATTTGGAAACATGGTAATTATGAGTGGATATTGTCCAGGAATTATGTTATTAATAGGTATTTGAAAAACACACGTGGAATTACATGTCTGATCCTCACTCGATTTTTTGTAAAAGCTTTTCACTGAAAAGTTTAAAAAATTGAGTTCTTTCTGTGGTAAAAAAAACAACAAACAAACAATTTAGTGATCGTTAAAAATTGAGGAAAAAATTAATAAAATCAGTAAACCAAATGTGTCATTAGTATTTATTACTGATACAAAATTAATGCGAAAGATTCAGCTTACATCATCGAGATCCACAATTAAACATTTAGCAGGATGATAGTTTGGTGAATTGGAGCACGCTAAATTTAATGTGTCATCAAGCAATTCTTCTTTGCAAATTACTTTTTTTAACTTAGCTGAAAAATAACCAAGAGAAAAAATACTAAATGTATATAAACGGTAATATATATTAATTAGCAACAAAAATATTTGTAAAAAAACAATACATTCCAATACAATAAGTTATTGGAAATATAATTTTAAAATAGTCTCACTATAGCTGTTGATGAGATTAAGATTTAATAGTATATCTCGGCATTCGTTCCGTTGAACGGAAGTTTTAACAATATTTAGAACAGTTTATCGTAATTGGTATGACCTTAACAAGAGAAACGAAAGCCAAAGAATTAATTCCACGTTGACAGAAGATGGAATTCTCCATACCGTATTGACATGATACCCCTATTTTTTAATATTTTTTTAAAATTATTTTTCCCACAATAACTGATATACATTCTTGATTCTCTTTGTGTACAAATAACGAATATACAAGCTAATCAATCAAGATTAAATTCTTTGAATAAAAAATCCATAATTTAATATTATAAAAGACAAATCTTTTCATCTCTGTTAATAAATTAATTTATTATTATGCATAGCTATTTTTTAGAGTAAAACTCTTTCAATTTCTTCTGCACTATGTAAAATGCAGTAAATCAGAGTGCTTCAGGCAATTGATACGATTTAGTAAAACATTAATCTATGTTAACCCAAAAATATATATCTTTATATAGAATTATTATACTTTGTTAATATGGAATATTCAATTACTTACAATAGACAAGCACTGTGCATCTAATAATTTCGTTGCCGTTTTCTTTTATTACCCAATCTTTGTTAATTTTTGTTCGACTTCCTCGGCTCGTGCTAAAAATTTTAACTTTAAGAGTAATTTTAAAACTTTTCTTATCTTGTATAGATATCGTTTCATATTCGTTTCTAAGATAGTCTGTACATAAGTGTGCAGACGAACATCTTGCTATTGAAATAGATTCTCTTAAAATTTCTATGATGATATTAGAGGAAAAATTTGTGGGAATCCAATTAAAAAACAATGTATGGTCTTTGCCTTCTTCAGCGGGCGTACATTTAAAATTTGTCGATTGCCCTGCATAAAAGAAATAACAAATAACTTTTAATCATTAAAAAAAAATATCATTTTAATCGAAAATAATTATTTCATTTTTTTTTTAATTTATTTTATGATACGGAAAACAAGTATAAGTTTAGAAAATTATTAACATTAATTAAGGACACAATATGCTGTCATAACAACTCAGATCCCCCTCTAAATTCATAACAAAATAAATAACTAATTTATTCTACTTTATGATAACCTATATAGTTCCTGCCCCTATCTTTGCATTAGCACTAGTTTGAAGGGTTTCACAAACTGTATATTAGGAGTGCATCATTTGGATATGTTTAAAGCAACGATTATTTGTATTTAATAATGTAAGGCAGAAATTTATAACGTTTGTATTTTCTTCGAAATAACAAAAAATGAATTAAACATTTGAAGTAAAAAAGTTATATAATGTTATTATAAAATATGAACAGAGTTCCGATTTTATTTGACATTTACAATTTAATAAATAACAAAGTGGATAATACTTCTTGTACCAAAAAAAAAAAAAAAACAGGAACTCGATTCTTCGTTCAATATCTAATAGAATAAAATATCTAATATATACTATAGAGTAAAACAAAATTATGCGTTCAAAAATAACAAAAAATGAATTAAAAATTTGAAGTAAAAAAGTTATATAATGTTATTAAAAAATATGAACAGAGTTCCGATTTTATTTGACATTTACAATTTAATAAATAACAAAGTGGATAATACTTCTTGTACCAAAAAAAAAAAAAAACAGGAACTCGATTCTTCGTTCAATATCTAATAGAATAAAATATCTAATATATACTATAGAGTAAAACAAAATTATGCGTTCAAAAATAAATTGGAAGCGAAATTATAATGTGTGAACTGAAAAAAAGATTCAATCAATTTTCCGTCAACGAAATTTCTTTCGATCAAATTTCCGTATCCGGAAAGAGTGTGAACATTTTATAACGAAAAAATATGTTTATATTAAAAATGTATTTTAAATATTTTGTGATAATTTATTTTATGAAAGATTGAAATTTAGTGGGGTCATTTTTATGTAGAAATAAATCATCTTAGACACGTGAAATTCAATTTGTTTAATTATTATATTATATTTTTTCATTTAAAGAAAATGCAATTGCGGAAACGTAAACAAATATGTGATAGATTATGTTTAAATATATGAAAGTATTTTTATTTTTACATTTTTCAAAACTTTTAAGAATATTTTTTCTTTACACAATTATAAAATCTATTAACACTTAGTTTAGGAAATAACTTAGACAAATATAAATCACGAGTTTCTAAGCATTCATGCAGGAGTTGTAACGTACCTGGCAGTTTTTAAAAGTGATATATCTATTTTATCGAGTTTGAAACGTTAACCATAAAATGAAAATATAAAAAATGATTGCAGTCAAGTTCGGTTGTTTTGTTGTATTTTTTTTCAATTCTTTACCCTTTACGATACTATGACCCTTTCAATTTCAAGACAAAACATTAGTTCGACATCTCAGAATCTTCCATACTATATAATCTAAGTATGTTTTTAGCACTTTCCGATTTAGAAGAATTGATAAAAAATCAAAATAATTACCATTTCTATTACATGATATAATATGGATACAAAACAGTATGATATCAGGCCTTCTCAAGTAAAAGGGCATTTCTATTAAGTTGTTTCATGTGAATTATCTTCCTTTTCTTTTGTCCATTTCTACCGGGAAAGGTTCAAGTGATTCCTATTTTTAAAAGAAAAAAAAATATATATATATATATATATATATATATATATATATATATATAAACTACACATGAATTAATTATTAATATAGTTTTAAATAAATTTTTATAGAAAATATAATTTTAAATTTATAAAAAATAGACATCTTCGTATGCCTAATTTTGGAAAAAAAATTATTCATAGGATTGAAATCTTAAAAGTTTATGCACCTTTAGCAGGAATTAATTGATTGGTATATATTAATATGTTTTTAAAAATATTTTAATAAATTAAAATATTCAATGCAATAGTTGAATACATGTTAAATAGTGTTTGGAATTTTAACTAATTAATTTATACATATACATATGCTTAAAATAAATAATTTTATAAAATGTTCACAATAATGAATGGGTGAATAACAGTTTTCATATAATATTTGTGTTTAAATTAGTATAGCATATGTTGATTTATTATAATAAAAGAAATAATTGAATTAAATGTGTTAACGTTGATTAAAATCTTATCTTTTCAAATATATTAATTCAAAATTTTCAATCGCACATTTTATAAAAGCTAATAAAATTATTAAACTTTTCGAAATTGTACAGCCTTACCACTATCATCACTAAGACTCTTCTGGTTTGTAAGACAGCAATGCTTTGAAGTGATATTTTCCGAAAAATGAACGTAAATAGAGCGTGATTCATTTTTCATGACATTGCTATTGTTATTGAAATTGTCAAACACTTGAACAATAAAAATAGAATTATAAAAACATATATCACTCTAAAACTTTACTGCCTTGAAAAAAGGCTTGACAAACTTGTCTGAATAAATCATGTAGTTAGATGAGAAATGAGAAATTCTTTGCCTAGTTATAATATTTTGAAAGAACAATTTTTAAAGGCACATTTTACTTTAAAAAAAAGTTTTTTTTTTAAATTTGATTGCTATGAAATAACAGACATGGGTGACACAGTCTTTAACATGTTTCGAAAATTATTAAAATCTCCTGGTTTCAATTATATGAAAACGTGTTAAAATGTTCTAAAATATTGCATAACCTTATTGAAGCAATATAATCTTTAAAAGAACTGTGCTTGACTTTGTCAATGTCATTACAAGAATGTATAGTAAAAATGCATTTTTATTTATCGTCTAAGTCTCACCCTCAATTTTGCAAAAAAATATTGTCCCTTTAAAAAAAAAAATATTAGTACAATAAATTTAAAAGTAAATTAAAAACTAAAAGATTAAATGAAATATTCTTCTAAAATGTGCAAAAAAGACAAACCTCTAGGGTGTTAAAAGTCATATGACTAAAAGGCGCAAACAAAATACAGTGATGTTTCATTATTTGCCAAACACAATTTAGGACACACGTAAATGTTTGCGTTGCGCAAATGAAGTTTATGATTTCATGGACACGACACGTTTTTTATTTGTATTATTTTAACAAATCTTAATTTGATGGCAATTTATTTTATTATATTTAGTACCGGGTAATTGTTTGTCCCCTTTGTAATCAATTTTTTATTGTTTTATTTTGTACCTTTTCGTACATGACAAACACAATTTACTATACTGGATTATTATTTAAGAAGCCAAAGGCATCTATGATACAGGTTGAAATTTTAACATTTTATTTATAAATATATTTTTTTTTAAAATTACGATTTTGCTAAAAAATTTACTTTCTTCCCTTTTTTTTTGCGTTATGGGGTGTTCCGAAAGTGTAACTGTATTGTGAAAAAATCATGCTAACCATAATATATAATTTATATTTTTTTTTTCAATATTAAAAAATAAGAAAAAAAAACATTAGGTAAATTTAGGCTATTCATGCTGTTGCGGTACTACGCTGCTGCCGTTTCCAGCCACTGTGTGTCCCGCTGATTACTGTGTCCTGCTGTTTGCTGTGTCTCCCTCTTTGCTGTGTCCCGCTGTCTGTTACACGAGGAAGTTGTTCCGCAACAAGATAATCACAGCAACTACTAGCAGATCATCACTGTGCCGTTACCAGACGATTTCTGCCTTTTACGACAAAGGCGTCTCTTCAGCCTCGACCTTATTATTACAGTCCCGCTACTGGGTCAACAATTGAACCACAAATCGGACACTATAATTGAAAACTGGGACATTTTTACATTTCATGTAACGAGGTCAAGCGAAGTCAAATCAAGTAAAATAATTAGATACACAAGTGTTATTATTTATCTGATTTATAGTGAATAACGGTGCATTATTATAACCTATATATATTGTAAGGTCAAAATATTATAAATGGAAACAAGACGCAAATCTAAGAGAACCACATCGGAAATAATAGCCGAAATTCGGGAGGTGGGCGAAAAGGACCTCAGATTCACGGAACAGGAGTTAGAGCAATATGTAAGGGACCAATGGGGGAGAATAAAAGAAGAGGAGCGAGACAAAAAGAGAAGAAAGGAAGAAGAAGAGCGAAAAGAATAGAGAAGAAGGGATGAAGAGGAGAGAGAAGAAAAGAGAAAATGAGAAGAGCGGGAAGAAAATGGATGAGATAGAAAGACAGTTACGAATAGGTTAAGCAATACAAAGCAAAAATTACAATTTACTTAAATGTCTCCCAAAGTATGAAAGTGTAGTGAATTAGATGATTACATAATCAATTTCGAGCATAAAGCACGATAAAATTGGGTACCCAAAAAAGAGTGGCTCATCGAGCTACAGGTTAGGTTGACGGGGGAATTACATACATTTTTATTTACGGAGGCCATAAGACAAAGATAACATGACTATGATACTGTCAAAAAGCTAGTGTTAAAAACATGCAGGTTACAATGCAGAGAAATACTGAGGAAAGTGGAATGGGTTGATGCCACAGAACAATAATTTTAGGGAATTCCTTTCCAACCTGGTCAGACGTCTAGATAACTGGGTTGTAAGTTCAAGTACAGAGAAAACTTATGAGGGGATAAACTATTTACTATGCCGAAACAAATTATTACTAAACATGACCTGTGAAACGGTATAAGGTGTTCCGGTTCATAATCAAACCTAATGCTAGATAGACAAAATAAAATGAGTAAAACAGAGTATGGTTAAACCTGAAAAATTAAACGCAACAAAACAGCGAACGTGTCGGCAGAAAGCCTTCGTCAGCGAACAAAACAACAGAAA